CCCCAGGCGTCTTCGGAGCACCAGATGAGGGCCTGGGGCTGTGGCGGCGGAGGCACCCTGATAAGGGTTACGCTGCAGTTCAAGGTTACTACGGATGCAAGACAGCTTCGTATGCACGCACAGCCTTCGCTGCATGCATCATCTCGGTAGACACTTGCCGAGCATATACACTTGCTTGGAGGCAGTTCATCAAAGCCAAGCGATTGTTTTTGTGTTAACTACAACTTGAATATGCTGGGGTGTACAGGCAGGGTGTACATGCAGTGAGGCACACTGTTTCGTGTTGCTGTTATTGAAACGTGAACGAACATGCGCGATGGTAAGAAAGTAGAATAAACAGAGGAATGCATAAAAACACATTAAAAAACAAATAAATATTCTGTATAAACAAATATATATTCTTTATTATTAACAAACTCCAGGGGTCCCAGTCCGAGCTTGCAGCAACATGAAAACGCCCCAGGGCTCTCTGTTCTGTTTATATACTGAGGGCCCCTTTCTCTCGTCTATGTTTGCTTTCTGCTCTTGCTGTCTTTTTTATTTCTTTTGTTTTCTATTTTATTGTGCTTCTTTGTTTACTGTGTTCATTTAAAAAACATAAACACCCCCTAAAACAACAAGACCCCGGCTGCTGCTGTCTGCTGCCGTAGGCCGAGCGCAGCGTCTGCTGCCTGCCAGCGCAGCTCTCTCAGCTTACCATCATCTCTCTTCTTCATATTGAAACAAAATACGTTTTAAGATATATTTTTTTTACTTTATTCTCCGCATTCAGCCACAAACTCCGCCTGAAAGCCCCCCTCTAACCCCCCATGCAGGCGCCTCCCTTCCCCCCCTCGAGGTCTCATCAAGGAGGCCCCCCCTCCATGGGGGGCCCCCCCTTCGGTTTCCCGCCGAACGGAATGGGGCCCCCGAACTTTAGTTGCCCCCAGGGGGCCCCTCCTCCTCCAGGGCCCCGTGGCAGCAACATGGGGCCCCCCGGCCCTATGTTCCCCCCGCCGGGTGGTATGGGGGGTCGTCCTCCTTTCCCTGGGGGCCCCATGGGGGGCCCCCCACCACCAGGGGGATTCGGGGCCCCTCCTTTCCCTCCTCCAGGCGGTGCATTCGGACCAGGGGCCCCCCCGTTCGGGGGTCCTGGGGGGGTTCCTCACGAAGCAGCAGCAGCAGCAGCTGCAGCAGCAGCAGCTGCTGCTACCCTAGCAGCAGCAACAGGAGGATTTGCGGGTCTTCCGTTTGTTCCAGGTGCACCTTGTGGTCCTGGAGGGGCCCCCGCGGGGCCCCCCCCATTGGGTAAGATGGGGGCCCCCTCTTTAGATGAACACATGAAGAATGTCAGACCCTCAGACTATGTACCTATAAAAGCAGACAAAGCAAGCCGGCGAGGTGGTGGTGGTGGTGGTGGTGGGTCACAGCAGCAGCAGCTGCTGCTGCAGCGGCTGCAGGAAGATGGAGACTTTGGCCGGCTGATGAAGATGGCTAAGGAGCAGCTGCAGCGTGAGGGTTTTGTGTTTGCTGTGCAGCAGCTAGTTGCTGCTCGTATGAAGGAAGCAGATGGGCTTGCTGCTGCAGCAGCAGGTGATGAATCAGGTCTAGTTAATTTAATAAGAGAAGAAGGAAGAAAACAAATACCTGAACAAGTAAAAAAAACAATACTCAGAACGATAGAAACCCTAGCGGGGATAGAGGCCCCCAAACCAAAAGTAGATATACAAGAAGAGAAAGAAGAAC